TGAATGACTTCAAGCAACTTGACTTTGCACTTCCGATGATCAAAAACATGTTCCCATACACGTTTACTGTCACAAGACAATACAAATATATGTACTGTCCTGGTGGAACAAAAGATGTCGAACAAATGGACAATATTCAGTACTTTGGCCCAGAAGATGTCCCACAGTGCGTCATAGATGGGTCATTCATCAAAGATCTTGTCGAAAAGAAGCTTTCAAAACATGCGTATTGCTTTGTCCCTATAATAACAATGAAGACGTCACAAGGAAGTGATCCCTACTCATTCACCAATGTAATATGGTCAGACCACGCATTTAATGGAACAAAACACAGTGTTGAAGACCTCCTGAAGATCAATAACATCACAAACACAAGCAACAATGGGCAGACAAATTATGCATCTCTCTGGCCAATCCCACAATTCTTTAAGAATGATGGGAAACAATTTGTTGGTCAACCACTCTGTCCAGCTTCATTCCTTCTCCGATGTGATACACTCAAAGAATACACTGGAAATTATGAAAAAGAGGATACAGTTCATTTTGGATCGTTTTTCATCGCAAAGACAGGATCAAATGACATGACAAATGAAGTTCTTATCAACTGTGAAGTGAGAATGACAATCATCAGCTATACACTCGGTCCAGACTTCGAATGCACTGTAGATGAAGAAACTAATGGAAATGAAAATGAAAATGGAAATGGAAATGGAAATGGAAATGCAACGTCACAAAAAATACCCGAATTTATTCGTCGAAAGCGAGGGTAATTGAATCTTTTATTTCATTATGGTTGAGTACAAGAGTACGATTGATCAAACATACATCTATTGCGGACTTGATTCCGTGTCAAGAGCAATCTATATGACATACGAATGTAATGCACAATACTTCAATAGAACACTCAATAGTAATACCGTGTATACGGAAATCATAGCAGATAAAGTATATGGGACGCTTGAAAGAAATGTCTCTTGTAGGAGACCTCAGCAATGCCATATGTTTCATATGAAATCAATCATTCTTGTCACAAAAACAACATTGAGAGTCATTCTTCACACGCGAAACCTTTCATGCACTTCGTTGCAGATGAATTGTTTCTTCAAAAGAGATTACAATGCTCTGAACCCAATACATAGACAAAGTCTTTTTGAAATCAACAACATCCTCAAGTCATGCTTTCTTAATGAAATAAATTTCTTTACAACTGAACGTTCCGACTGTAACATTAT